GTATTTCTCAGACATATTCAACTATATTTCCTTGTGTATTATTTAAAGTTTGACCTTTCCTGAAGTTTTTAGTCCATCTGGAATTATTTTTTGTGTACAACTTGAGGTAGGGATTGTCAAGAACTCTGAAGAGTCGAGATGTTATTTTGCTTGCAGACTCACAAGTTAGACTGCCATGGTTTCATGGGTACTGGCAGGAGACACAAGATTCCTGGGTCAGATACAGGGTCTTTATTACTCACAGCAATAACAGAGCTAGAGTGTCAGCATTCATGCCAGTTCCTTGTGCCCCAGTTCCCAAAGGGTGATGCAAAGAAGGTCAGGTGACGACCGCACACACAGGGGGTTGCATTATTGAAGAGAAACATTAGGGAACCAAAATCTTATATAATGGGCAGTAAGCATACCTAACCTTTGCCCCAAAGAGACTTTATTTGTATTATACTGGATAGTAATCAAACTTAACCCTTTGCTGCAGAGGGAGATACTATCTCTATCTTTCAAGGCTGCCTGCTATGTAACCATCCTTGAGAAGATATTCTGGAACAAAGGCAGCCAGTGCTTCCGTTTGAAAAACATGCAGAAATGTGGAGAGGCCCATGGAGAGTTGTCTTCCAACAGGGATCTGCTTCCCCCCGCCCCATACAAATGACCAATTGGTCTCAGCATGATTTATTTAATGCATAGTTTCTTCTTTCCTCAGATGTCTGCAGTGAAGTCTTTAACATAGTCAGGTTTCCATGTATGTATGTGTCTGTTTCTAGGCTCTCTATTTTATTAATTGATAGCCTATCTCTGTATCAATCCCACATATTTTTACTTATTACAGCTTTATAATAGATCTTAATGTCTGATAGAACAATTCCTTCCCCCACCCCAGGCAAACACTCATCCAGTTCTTCTTCAGGAATGTCTTATATATTCTTCTCCATTCATCTTCTTTAACTTTGAAAAGTCTGCACATCAGGTTCCAATGCAAAACATTTTTTCTTACAATTCAGACCTTTCTTCCTTCTGGGATTATTTTTCTTTCTCCTGAAGTTTATTAAATAATTCCTCTAGTAGGCTCAATTAGTGTCTTCAGTGTGACTTTCCACCATAGGTAGGTCTAAGCCTTGTTTCCTGTACTCTGCATGCTGCCCTCTAAGAACTAAAGTTCTCATCATCAGACATCAGCAGATGGCCTTGGACAAGCAGAAACGTCAGCTCATTTGCTTCTCTGCATGTATCCTTTCACATTGTTTTCAACTTCTCAGAACTTTTCTTGCCTTTTTTTGGCAGCTCATCTATGCATTTTAAAAGATGTTTTGTATATTTCATCTAACATTTTTAGGAGTTTTGCATCGAGAGTGATTTTCAGGATGTTTAATCAATTATATTGCCAGAAACAGAAGTCTTGCACTGATAGTGGTTTTAAAATGGTTTCATCTCACAGAATTGTCTTGCACACAATATGCATTCAAAAAAGTGTGTTTAATTGAACTGAATAAAATTTCAGTTGGGTTTCTCTGATGAGGCTGTATCATTCCCAAATAACCCAGTAACTAATTTGGCATTACCACCATTAGATAACTTTTTCCTCTTCTTAAAACGTTGCAAAATTTTAAAATATTTTGAACATACAGAAAATAAGATGATTGAAATCTTTGTACTTCCCACCAAGATTAAAAAGATATTAAGATAGTGCCCAATATTTTTTTACTCTATGGTTATATGTTCTTAAAAGAAATGTATATTTTCATTTTTGTATATTTAAAAATTTTAATATTTCAACAAAATATTAAAAAATTGATTTTTTAAATAAAGAATTTCAAAATTGAAATAATATTTAAACAACTAGAGGTTATTTGAAACTTAATTGGAAACATTTTGTTTTACAAAATGAATACATTGACATATAGATTTTAAGAAACAAAAAGCAAAATTGAATAAGAGATTAAATGTGGCTTAAAGTGAGGATGCTGGGAAAATGTTGGATATGCTTTAACAGAACAGGCTAATGTTGTTCTTAAATGTTGAATCTGTGAAGAAATGCATTTCTGGGGAAATTTTACTCTGCATTTTGCAGCTGAACATTTCCATATGTTGGTAGCTTATTCTAACAGCCTTTAGTCTAGGACTATCTATACTGAATTTAAAATCTTCTCACAGCAAGTAAAGGATATCCTCGCTTGTACTTTCATAGGTTTATCCATCTGGATAACATAATACTGACTTTAATTGTCCACTCCTAACACCTTATGTAAAAAAGGAAAACCTACATGGTGTCATTAACTCAGGATATTAAGAAGGTGGTAAGATATTAAGAATTTGTTGAGAATGCCAAACCAATTTTCCTAACAAGATGAACATACAATAGAATAATAAAGAAATATGGGTTCTGATAGTAATTTCCAGTTTCTCTCCATTAAAGAACTAGTGATAATGTTTTACTATTGACTGAGGAGAGTCTCTGTGTTGGTTCTAACTGAATCTTCTCTTGTTCTGTATAATCTCTACTCTGCAAAAATTTTTTTCTTGTTCTTGTTAGGTTAAGCAGAAAGAATTTAGTACAAGGACATTAGGTGGTGCATAGATCTTCTGAATGGCTGGAGGACCAGTCAAGAACCAAGGTAGACAAGCATATGCAAGAGCCTAAAGGAGCGATCCTGGACTCTGCTGCTTCTGCACATCCGTAATCACTGCCCAGTCCCATTACCCAGTGCCGCCACTGCAGTGACCTCCAAACAACCTATAGCTTTGGTCACTGCCTCAAGATGAAGAAATCTTGGGCAGTCACATCTGACTGATAGTTAGTTTGTTTGTTTATTTGTTTGATGTTTTTGTGCTGGTCTGCAAAGGCTGCAGATGAAAGCTGTACTGTATTATGGGGTCTTAGTCTTTGCTTAGGCACTGTGTGTGCAAAAGCTCACGTGTGCTCACGAAGTTTATCAACAGAAAAAGGAAAGTGGAGGGGACAGAGAGATGTATGGATAAAAAGGAAGAGAGGTAAACCTTGTATCTGGGGCTTTTGTGTGGTGATAAATTCCTCCCTGCAAGAAGAGTTGGCTTGAAGCCCTGGATAAAGCTGCTTCCATTTCCAGCCTCCTTTTCACTTATCTCTACTACAGAGTTTATGGTTAATTATTTTTACAAATCGTTTCCCTCTTGCCCTCTTCACTACAATTCAGTTGCTAAGTGACTGGAAGATAGAGTGACCTCTGAATTTATTCGGCTCATTATATTGTTAGATTTTTCCACATCACTTAAGGGATGGATTTGTTCGTGTAAGTTCAGCACCTCTCCAGAATTCAAGTTAACATTTCACCTAATTAATAGCCCCTATTGGCCTATTTATTCTGAGATGCATAATTAAAGCAATAATACTACTTGTTCAGGGGAATTAAGATTTCATTTTGCCCTTTAAATTAATCATCCAAAGTTTTATTTCTTTTTCTTGCTTAAGGCTTATTATTATGCACATCTGTGTTATAATAAACATATTTTTAAGGGACCATCCTTAGAAAAATTAAAAAGTTACTCTAATAAAAAATTGTGAACTTTTAGGATTTAAAAATAAACCTACGTACGTGTACAATACTTTAATTTAATGATAATTCCTTAAAGGCACTAATTTTGGCTTTTTATCTTCAAGTTTTAGTCCTTGGAGTCCCCAGTAACAGTGCCTAATATGGATAATAATAAATATTTATAGAATGAGTATATATTCTTCAATGAATCAATGTGATGGGAATTTGAATAAATTTTTGTTTTAAAATGAGGTTAATATTAAACATGATTATTTATATTATAAATAATTCTACTTCATAAATAATTCTAAATGAAAATCAAAATGATTTTTGTGAACAACATTCCATTGCTATTTTTAGTTTGGGACTTGTAGTCAATATGTATTTATCCTCTGTGATGTGAAATGTTATTTACTTACCTATCAAACTGTATATATAAAAGCATATGCATAACATTTACTATACATAAGATAATATATTTGATGCTTTACAAATATTATCTTATTAATGGGGACTCATTAAGGGAAAAATACCATCTTTTTTTCCAGTAACTATTTAGAAAAAAGACCACGTATAATTCACACATGTACACACAGAAACCTAGAAATGATTACAGGTATGTGGGATATAAGGATGTCACATGCTGAGTATTCTGTATGTAGGATGATGGCTATGATGGTGGTACATAGGGTTTCTTGCAGGAACTAAGGAGCTGAGTTGTATACTCCTTGATAAGTATAATGACAAAATATATTGAGAAATGTTGAAGAAAAAGATGTAACTAGGCAAGGAATAATGGTTTGGATACTTTACCTGGACAAATGGCTTTTGTGATTGATAGTAAAACCTGAACGGGTGTTACCTGTTGAACCAATTAGAAACAATTAA